GTTTGGTTTTTTTTTTTTCCCCTGCTTGGAAACCGAAGGGTGAAGCGGGAGGGGGTTTCCCGGGGCTGCAGCGGCGCCCGCGGGCACGCGTGGGGCAGCGGGTCGCATCCCGCGGTGGGCGCCCTCCCGTACACACCCCTCCGCGCACCGCCAGCACGCCCTTGCCAATGGCCAAATCCTGCTCCCCCCTTACTCCCAGCCCTTACAGCCCCAAAACGTCGAAATAAATCCACAGCCACGCACAAAACTGCCTCCCCGACCGAGCCTTTCACTGCAGGGGTGACTGGGGTATAGGACGGAGAGCCCCGGCTTCATCCCTTGTTTTGGAGTTCAGCACCCACACCTAATCACTAACCTGCATCATTAAGTACACACTGATTTTTGGGGAGTAGTTTTGCTCATGGTCTCCCCTCTAGCCCACCCCCATCCCTAGAAAAAAGCACTTTAAAAGCACAGTGGGGTGAGATGCTTTCGGTGATGTTTCCCATGCAATTAAAATTTCCCCAGCAAAGGCAGAGAGTCTTGTAAGAATTATCTCGCTAAGGTCTCCATAAGCCTGAATTTTGCTTTTGGTAAAGTCGTTGGTTTTGTCATCGGCTGCAAAACAAAGCTGCCCCCTGCCCTTCTCAATGGCCCAGCAGCCTCAGGCACCAGCAGCAGCATGCACCCTACTCCAAATAACCCATCCCACCAGCACAGCTCCCCCAATGTCCGGTGGGAGGATGGACATGAGCCCATGTGTCCCGTGGAAACTCACAGCACAGCTCCTTACAAACAAGCTGGAGGCATCTTCAGCCCCCTTGGGCACATGGTGGGGGGTCAAGCTGCTATCCTGTGTGGAGGGATGCTCTGACCTCTGCCACCCTACAGACTCAGACCCGGAAGGGTTCGAGCACCTCCTGGTATTCCTCTTCCTCCACAGCTCCCATGTTTCACTTTGCTCCAAAAAGCTGTACCTCCTCCCTACCCAGATTTGGGCAAAAAGCCCGTGGTTTATTTAGCACATTCTCCCCACCCAGCCAAGAGGCCGCTGGTGTCACCCCAAAATCTGCCTGGTTCAAACATGCCTCCATATATTCTGATGTTCCTTTCCTGGGAAAGGTTTTTTGGGGCAAAACCTGCCAGAAGCCACCTGCTCTTCAGCAGCGCTGACTCTGAGTGATGCAGCATTTTGGTGCCACCTTTCAAGCTGGGGCCATGCCGGACTAGGTTTCCACCTGCACTATGGCCCAGGGGGAGAAGGTCTTCTGCCCCGCCCAGTCAAATGTGACCCTCTGAAATACTGATTTCTACTATATACTCAGATTTAGACGCTCCTGGGAAAGGCCGTGTCCCACTGGTGGCGGGGGTCTCTCCGTGGGGCACGGGGGGGGGCTCCCTTCCCCGCCCTGCCTGCCCCTCGCCTCCCTCCCGCCTGTTACACTTCCCAGGCACAATCACGCTCCGGTTGCTTCTCCAACAATCAGAGATCGCCGACGTTTTTCTCCAGGAGAAAAATCAGCTAATTATGTGCCGAACAAAAAGCCTATTCTTGTCTGAAATAATACTCCCGTCTTGCAAAGGCACTTGTTTGTGGGCAAATTTTGAAGAGGGCTGACAATAAAAACAGCTGCAGGAGCTGGGTGTTGGTACACATTTCCATGCCCTGCCAGATTACCATGCCTAATTATCTCCCCTTTCCACAATCTAACGTGGTTTCCTGAAAAGAGATGATTTCCACACACATACACACACACACACCACTTTCCTATTTAAATGAAAGCTTTGCTTCTCCGCAAGGATTTCCAGCCTGCTCTGGTTGGTTTTGGAAGGAGCAGGGATGCTGCTGATTTTGGGGGCTGGAGGGTTTAGCTCGGCTCCATCTGCAGTGGTGGGAAGGAGCGGGAAACAGGAGAGGGGTCACAGTCTGACGATGCCTGCTGGATCACGGGGGATGGGGGGAGGGGGGAAGGGAAAAAAAAATTGGAGAGGAACAACCACGCGTGCAGCTACGAAGCATCGACAGGGGAGATCAAAACCTTGCCAGCGCTGTGCTGGGAAAAATCCCGAGCTCCGCACCACCACACATATGGTGGCCTCCGCAAGACAGAGCTGGGACATATGGAAATGAGCTGTATAAGTAAACTTTTCCCAGTCCCTTGAAGTCAGAGATGGGCCCCAAAAGTGTGTGCGCGCACACACATGCCCCCCCGCCCCCCATCCCCAGCAGCAGCTGCTGCAATGGCCATCCACTCTGTCCCAGTTGCCACATCGCAAAGAAAAATAATTTCTCCAGCAGATAAACAGCACTGGAGAGGGGGGAACACCAAAATTCATGCCCCAGGTGACCAACAGGGTTCGGTACCCCCAAAAGCTGCACCGAGCCAGGGACGGGGAGCCAGATGAAGGACTGGCCAGCAAAACTGCACCGAGGCCCAAAAGCAATAACCCCCCCTCATCCTTTCTGCCAAGAAAAGAACGGTTTCAGATGTTGGCTGGAAATGTGGAAGGATAAACTGACCCAGATATCCGGGCACAGGGCGGGGGACAGCCCCCAGCTCCCTGTTTGGAGAAGCCGCCAAGCTTCAGTGGTGGGAATTAGCAGTGAATGGATTTTTGGGGGGAGGACTGAAAGTGCCGCTTGCTGAGGGCTGAGTGGGAGGTCGTGACCCCACAGGGGAAAAACCCCAACAGGCACATTTTTGGGGTGTAAAAGACCCCCACACTGCTTTGAGGGGGGTATCCCTTGGGACATGCAGCTGTGCTGATGTTGGAGGGACAACCCTCATCCCTTGCCGTGACCCCATGTACCCTTCAGGTTTTTGGGGGCCCGGAGGGTGGCTGGCTGAGACAGGTAGGTTTTGGGGAACAGAGCGTAGCTGTCCCCATCCTCGGCACCAACCAGCCCAGCTGTGGCAGGGGGTCACCTTCCTCTCGGGGTGCACAGCTCCCCCGGCCTGAGAGCTGCCAGCAGCCCCCCAGAAAATATGAGCATCAATTAGCTAGAAACAAGCGATGGGTCGCTGAGAGCTTCCCAAGTGGGCAGCCCAGGCAAAAGCACGATCTCCCACCTACCCTTGGTTTTGGGGGAAACCCCCCCCAGCCAAAAGCCACTTTTAGTCGGGGTTTGTGCCCAAAACCCCCCCAAAACTGAGCCCAGAGGCACAGCCAGCGCCGTTGTCCCAGGAAGACTTCAACTTCCCAAAGGCAGGAGGGATCCCACCCCCAGCCAACCGCCCTCCTTTTTTTTTTCTCCTTTTTTTTTTTTTTTTTGCATTTAATTTTATTTTCCAAACCACTTGATCTTTGCTTGGGAACCTCCATTAATTGCCTGGGTTTGCCTCTTCGCCTGGTCCCTTTATCATTATTTATGGCCTTTGAAATTGTGTAAAGTTCCCTTGACGTTCAATTTACAAGTTTGGGGGCTTTTTTTTTTTTCTT